ATTAACACAACATTCCGACTCCATTGGAATCGGGTTTGTATGTCAAATGTGTGCTCAAGTATTCAAAAACAAACAGCAGATACACACTAATTCTGCTATGCAGAAAAATGGGAGCATGGGAAATCTTGAAAGGTCCATTATTTCCACTGTGCAAATAATTGAGGCCTTGGCTGAAGCTGAACAACAATATGTACAAACCCTGCAACGCAACGTTTTTAACCAGATTGAATTACGAGCAAATTAGTCAACAGAAGCGCATTGTTGGATGAACTAAACGCCGATGGTCTTTTTACTGTGCCACAATAGGCAACTGAAAGTTTAATTTGGATCATACCACACAGCCCCATCTAACCCCCAACAGACGCGCCAGCAGATGTGACGCCGTCTACTCAGCAGATATTGATCAGTCGTCCCTTAACAATTACCCGCTCTAAACGGTGACAGTTTGCACAAATGATTTCAATAATTGATGTCATTTTGACCACCCCACCAAAGCCCTCTAAGCACAGACTTTGTAGCTGCAAAAGTGGCAGTACAATCTAGTTTTCATTGCGACAGTGGGGACGGGACATCATTACTCCACCTCTTACATCAAAAGCACTGAGCAGCACCGCACAGAGTGTTCACTCTCTACTATGACCGCCCAAAAAATGTCCAGTGGAGGAGGGGGATTCATTAGTGGAGCCGATGGATCAAAAACACTTGGCAAAGTACACAGTTATCCAAATCTCTTGATAGAGATCATTAGGACTTTATGCATACTCGAAGCTCATAAACAAATCACTGAACAGTAGTGTACAGTATATTCAATATGATAGACAGCAAGTTCCACTGCATGATGCTTTGCTTGGACATGTTATTGCCATTTTACCCAATGGAGTCAATCGTACGACACTCTCAAACCATATTTGTCAAATCTTGTCTTAAAATCCACAAAACAAAACAGTATTTAAAACCAGGTTGATTAACATATGGCCATGCTAGTCACTGTCATAGCTGCAAAATAATCAGAGTGATACTTGGGTCTGCTGCAGAGCGAGCCATGTGGCTGTAACCTAATGAGCTGTCATACCTTTGGTCAGTAGTCACCATGTCCCGTATCATGTGAGCTTTCAGAGAAAAAAAAACACTGAGGATAAAGTGACCCTAATTTATTAATTTTTATGGTCTAACGAGATTCATGCCGACTGTATTTTTCAGGCGCCATCGGTTGGGTGCATTCACGACAACAAAGGAGTGTCCCATTTCTCAGAGGAGTTGGTCTCACATTGGAGAACGATGCGAGCAAAGTACAGTCTGACGTGAGATCAACACTTTATCCCCCAAACTTGACACGATCAGGATTTTTGTGGCCAATCACAATTTTAAAAAAATACAATACTATTACTACTACTACTACTAATAATAATAATAATAACAATAATAAAAGATTGCCAATCACCGATCCAAGCGCAAGCTGGAGCAACATAAAACAATTTGGGTTTTTTTCACTGTGTAAAATGTGAAGTGACAGATTACCAATTTAATTGGTTCTATGAGCCCTTTTATAACCTGAAACACTCGCAAACCAACTGTTCCCATTGAAATAAATAGAAATACAATCACTCAATCAGTGCAAAAATTAAGTACCATAAGGCCGAGTCAGATGGCCCAAAATTCACAACAGGGTATCAATTGCAACCCTTCACGGTAACGGTATATATCGTGAAACAAAATTAAGTGCAAACGTATTTTTTTAATTCATAATAACTTCATAAATGATTGGTTTCTGAAAGGATGAAACAGTCCATTACAGAAGGGAAATTGGTCAAATAAATAATGATGAAATAAATATTAGGATAACATTTATGATGCAAAGCTCAAGCCACAATTCAAAGTTAGCACTCCCTGGTGCAATATAGGGCAAACAAAAACAGTACTGCTGATATTGTAAATAGAAACACTGTATAGTTGTCTTTCAGTTTAGTTGTCCACAATTTATTCAAAAATCTGTCTCCGTGGATTAATTAACCTCTGCCAATTCTGTTTTTAACCGTAGTAAAGAAAGCAAGGGCATTCAGTCAGTCAGCTTAATCATACCTCAAACGTCAAGGTGAACACTAAGCACTGGCAGTCAAATAACAAATAACTGCTTAATAAAACGGATTGGATTGTTTATGTGCGGTGTCGCTGATGGTGTAGTCGTACACTTGCCTGACTTGTATCCGGGCAGCGCGGGATCAGTTCGCACTCAGTGACGGTGTGAATGTGGGTGTGAATGGTTGTTTGTCTCATTATGTGCCCAGCGATTGACTGGCGACCAGTTCAGCATGTAGTCTGCTTTTTGCCCAAAGTGAGCTGGGAGAGGCTCCAGCACCCTCCTGCAACCCTGTTCAGGAAAAGCGTTTTTGAAAATGGATGGACGTTTCTGCACGAACAATAGTTGACTTTTTTTTTTCATCTTAATGTTTTATTTTTTCTCAAGTCACTTATAAACCTGCATGCTATTTTGCTGTTCGAAGTCGCATGCTCTAACTCTCTGCTGTAACGCAGTTACAGCCCAACCTATGTGACAAGTGTACCAAATCACCCAAGCAATTATTTCTGTTTCACGCCTGAATGTTTAGCTTTGCACTTAGCATGGCTCCTATTTGTCCTTCCTTTGTGATATCGCTATTACAGAAATGTTGCTTTTTCCCTGCCACAGAGGCGGCCATCAGTGGCGTGTGATCTGTTGACACCGGATGCAAAGAGAATTTTTACCTCCGTAGCTCCACATCATGGTTAACCACGTTATGGTAGCAGAGGTTCCGCAGAATAGTGTGCAACAACCATTCGAACAGCAAAAAAAAAAAAAAAAAAAAAAGGGATGTGGGCATAACAACTTTACTTTCAGTGATTTCCTTTACATGGATGATCCCTAACATTTAGCAGCGCTGCAAAAATAAATTGGATACGGAAAACATATTTTATTTCACAGAGGTCTTTTTCTACTTTCTCTGTGAATTGGCCATAAATGTTGGTCATTTTTGTCACATTGAGCATGAAGAGAGATACAAAGACGAAATGAACATGCATTCCAATGATTGGCCGGAAGGGTCCAAATCTCTCCCTTTGGGCAAATTCATACCTTAGGTTAAATATATAATTTATACAGCACACCCCAAAGTTATACTTTGACGCACCCGAACTTTCGATTCTGTCTTCTCATCAGTAGAGTCCAAAAAGAAGACCCGGGCTGACTAAAATACATCACTTATTGCCTGAGCACAGCTACATAAGGTTAAAGAAAACAAGAGACATGAATTCATAAATATTTAATTTCCTTTACAGTCTATACACAGGAACTGGCAAACAAACAAAAAATCACTACAATATCTAAAAGCACTTCACTTTGAAAACCAAAACAGGAAAGGCTGGAGAAGACCATCAGTGTGCCACTGAAAACAACAGTTGTTTAAAAAGGCTGCGGGCCATGTTACATCTAAAGTGTTATGGGTTAATAAGACCTTGTGCTTTTGCATAGTGCTGTGTAAAAGCAAAGAGGGTGGCCAAATGTTTACGCATTTCAGCAAGTTATTTGCATTGTCCGCTGGGAGACGATCAGCACACAAGTCAGTCCCAGCAGGATTACAGAGATAAGATAGGGCCTAAATGGATTTTACACTGCCAGCAGCAACTTGTTTACAAAAGCCAAACTTTTGAGGGGGAATGTTACTACAATTTGCAGGGAATTGAAAAGGGAGGAGTTGGAAGAATAGCAGCCACATTTCAACAGATTAAGCAGAACATTCATTAAAAGTGAGGCAATCCGTTGAATCTGTACCTGACCCAAGGGGACAAATTTGACTACAGCTCTGCCAACTTTAAGATATTATCTGGTGACTATGTAAGAATTTCAAGTGAACGTGTTGTGAATACACTGATTTTTGGGGGGAGGTGAGGATAATTACCCCATAATTAGTAATGTGAGATTCCTTCACTGCGTGTGGGTCCCAGTCCAATTCTCTGGAATCAATCAAACCTCCCAAAGGAACTCCCTGGTCCCCCTAATCTCCTGGTTTTATTACTTTCCAGACAGTCAGCCTGTTTCACCCTACCCCCATCTCCCTCTTTTGTATGGGTCTCCTACTGAACCAAGGAGGGGCCTTTTTCCTCTCTCTCTCTCTATCTCCCTTTCCACCACTGCAGAGGTCCACATGGAGGAGAGGGTCTTTCATCAGGCTCCATATGCAAAGCAGAGACCCGTCAATCCCAGGCATTTCTTCTTTAGGAAGCAAAACCAAGCCATTCCTTAGACATGAACAGCCTTTTCTCACACACAACCTTGGCTAAGCCCTGTAGACTTTTTCCAAACACATGATCAAACGGCTGCAACAACACAGTCAAGATGAGTACAGTATGTGATAGACTCCAAACAGGCATTTTCTGTCATTATTCCCAAAATGGCAACTGATTGCCAAATGTGACACGAGCTCAGGCTGCAATCAATAGCGCTCTGATATCTGACAATGGGGGGGGGGGGTGTTAAGTGACATTTCCCACAACAGAACACCACCAGTTGGACTGATGGTGAAAAGCTAATGAATTGCGAATGTGTTTATCCATCAGCTAAACGTGTATTGACACCCAGGTAATGAGATGTCTACTGGACTGATGGTTCCGCTTTCCTCTCTTGAAAGTGACTATTTCCATTGAGGGCAACACGTTGACGAACACAAAACACGTGTTTGGCTCGCATCCCACATTCAAAACAATATAACATTAGGTGGAGGATTTGGAAGACATCGCATCCAAATGTAGAATGGTGACGGGTCAAACAAGTCTACTTTTAAACTTGCCTATATGGTGAAAGGCTCCATGACCTGAACGCAACACAACCAGCGGCCATACCAGCTTTTCTCAGACAATATTGAGCGTTGTGTGTTCTCTCCGCGGGGTGTTGCGATTAAAGTTTCCACATTTCGGGATGGTCAAACGCAGCGACATTTCGAGAAAGAAAAAACGAGCGAGACTTGTACCTTTGTCGACATGCTTGGCCGCCGTGCTCCCCGTGCACAGAAAGGTGAGACAGGAGAGGAGAGAGAGGAGCAACAGAGCTCCCCGCTCGGCCATCACTTTTCACGAATAAATGTTGGCAGGCTTTCAGGAATCCCGGCTTTTGAACGAAATCCTTTTCGAAAAAAAATCCGTAAAATTCGCCAATAATAATCTAAAAAAAAAAAAGTTCAGAGGGGCAAACCGCGAAACCGCACGGGGAGCCAGGTACTTAGAAAAGAGTCTGGGTAAAACATGGAGCTGGGAAAGAGAGCGTCGCAGGTTATGCACACTCTTTTTGCAACTTGATCGAGGTTGAGGTCGGAAGAAAAAACACTCATCAATCCATGACTACGAAGGCGCAGCGCAAAGAAGAGCAGAGCGGGCGAGTGATGTCCAACACGTCGACCTCTCCACTCCAGTGTCGGCCGCGAGCACAAAACAAGAAGGGGCTAGTAAACGGTGAACTGAGACCCTGGAGAGAGCGAAATCTCGGCCGCAGCCAACTCGCCGCTCACGGTTGGGACGTGAGCGAGCAACGAGGAGAAGGAGGTGGTGGAGGAGGAGGACGAGGAGGAGGAGTAGGGCCGGAACCCCACTGGCTCACTGGAAAACGGGACGTGGAGCTTCACCAAAGTTTGGATCCTGGCGGCTGGTTCGGGCAACCACTAAAATGTGGTGAGGATATATTTTTGGAATTCAATTCAGGAGCCCTTCGGTTATTTGTTTCCTCTTAGTTCAAGCTAGTTTTGACTTTTTTTTCCCAAACTTAGTTAGTTATGCGATTTATTTTATTTTATTGCGGGTTTACCCGTTTTAATAATTATTTCATCCTTCGTTTTAGTGTTGTTTAAATTAGTTCTAGTAGGCCTATTTGGTTTTTTTTTTGTAAGATTGTATTTGGCGAATCCAAGATAAAGGAAGGTCAAAATAATTGTGTATGTTACAAAAAAAACTAAGCTGAAGGTACCATCTATCCATTATCTGATCCACTTATCCTCCCTGAGGTCACAGGTAGGCTGGAGCCTATCCTAGCTGTCTTTGGCACTGGGTGGGGTACACCCTGAGTTGGTTGCCAGAGGGCACACACAGATATTAAAAAAAAAAAAAACATTCCCACTCACAATTACACTTAGGGCCAATTTCGAGGGTTCCATTAATCTACCATGGATGATTTTTGAATGCAGGAGGAAACCAGAGTATCCAGAGAAAACCCACACAGGCACGGGAAGAACATGTAAACGCCACACAGGACGGCCGGGGCCGGATTCCAACCAATGACTTCCGCAGTGTGAAGCGGTCGTGCTACGCAGTCTACTACCATGCCGCCCAAGCTAAAGATACCATTTAAAAATGTGTACTAGCAACTAATGGATGAACAAACATCTGCAAACCAAATATGTAACATTCCACAAAACCTGAGGTGCAATAAGTATAGTGCTTCCAAGGTGCCTGGTCAAAATCACAGTAGCCAGGACATGCATGTACAATACATTTTACAGTAAAGTCAATTATGACAACCATATTGTAATGTGCTTGTATGTAGGCAAAATTTGACACAGTCACTCAGGCTCTTCAGTCGCTTTCTCCCCAAAGCGGTAACAGGATGCAAATTCATTCAAGAGCTGCCACAACTCACACCCAGTCTCTCAAACTGTTAAAAAAATGTGAGAGTTAATCATTTCACTGAGAAACATGTGCTTATTTCACATATCATCATTGTCATAGTTACACAAGTTCTATTATGATATATAAAACATACCAAAAGCCCCTGTCATATAATTACAATATCATATGGTTTAGTTCTTGAAATATCAAGGCCTTATTTTCACATCTGTAACTTGACTCAACAGATGACATTGCATGGTGGCTGGAAATCTGAAGAAAGGCTCAAGTAGTAAAAGTAGTCACCTCAGCGTCAGATAAAGTTGCTAAAATGCTCCCTGGGGCAGAGTGTATTGTATTTTGGCAAGGAATGAAAAAGACGCTAAAAGTGACAGTGAGGTTATGAATGCAAGGAGAAGCCACCCTTTTCTTGTCATTTGGCTGAAGTGTGAAAAGAATGAGGAAAAACAGGCCAAGTCAGTGTCAAGCCTGCATCAGGATGGAAAACAAAGTAAAACAAACTAAACAAAATATAGAAGAGCTCCCCCCGCTGGTATGAAAATCTCACAACATACTCAGCATGTGCATGAGTCGACCCTCTGTTTCGTTAATTACATTGGTCTGCGTCATGGCTCACATTTTAGGTCAGGCATGTTTTTGGCATTATATACACATGGGTATCTACATTAAAACATGCCATTTAAAAATGGCTTCATCCTCTTGTGTTTGTCTACAATTATGATTTATGTCCAATAGATTTAAGGCATTTTGTGTAACTTGAGCAGAACCTGCTACACATTTTAGTAGCTTAGCAGAACAAAGCTATGAATGATTCAGTGTTTCATCTGTAAGTCGCACCATGCTTTTCAGTTAATGCACAAGGTTGTCAAAAAAAGAGGAAAATAACAAATGCACCAAGAAAAGAATCAACAAAATGAGGAACTTCATGAAGTCCTGTCATGTTAATGTTACTACAACTATATATGCATATGCACATATTGATCAAGATTTTACTTTTTTGGAAATATACCACTCACAAAGAAAAGACAAATCATGATTTCTATTCATATTTCTTGGTGAGTTAGCAAGTGGAATAAATTTCAAAGCTTTGTTTTCATAGTTCATGTTTGAAAGTTATATTTGGTAAAGACCTGTGAATGACTGACGACCAGTCCAGAGTTTCCAGCTACAGTAGCATAGACCCCGGCTCACCCGTGACCTTGGTGAGGATAAGCATGAAAGAAAATGGATGGATGCTTGTTAAGACAGGTACTTCATTTTTAGTAGAACTTTTGGAAATGATACATAATAACATCAAATCAAAATTAAGTGTAATCCTCTCCTGTCATCAGCTATTCCTTGTTTCAAGTATTCCGTCCACATGACTTTTTTGTTGATTTTGAGCTTCTTGGACGAAATAATCTCAATTCAGCATTTCATACTCTTACATAACGGAGTTACAAACCAGAAGCATTGTTTACATATTGTTGGAGCTGATACTCTCAGGATAGTGACATAAGAAACACATCAGACAAATGATTCACCAAGAATAAAATTTAAGATCCATTTACAATGAATACTGTAAACAGGGTCCAAAAATAATTACGAGCGTAATTGACCATGAAATCAATACCCTTCCTTTGTTCCAACAACATTAAATCAATAGAGAAAATGCCTTGGAATGATCGTGCATCATAATATGTCATGAACCCAACAGAATTTCACATTCTGTACTCCCTATGCAATTGCTGTGAAGGGGGAGCTGCATACAGGATAGCAAACCATGATCGACATACTGTACCATACATATGTCCAGGTTTACGTTTAAGGCTTGAAGGCTTAAGGTGAAATTCTCATGGACGTTTCTTGAGTAAAGTCATGACTACAGAAATATATCGGTGAAAAACAGAATTTTTGCGTTTGGGAAGACTGATCATTTTAAAGTACGTTATACTTTGTAAACAACAATCATGAATGGATTTTTGTCAACAATATAATTTCAATATCAGAATCGCTGGATGGAAATTACAGTGGTGGACTCGCCTGTCTTGTGAGCGAGTAGCGCGGGATCGGTTCACACTCAGAGACGGTGTGGATGTGGCTGTGACTGGCTGTTTGCCTCTATTTGTGCCCTGTGACTGAACGTCGACCAGTTCAGGGTATAGTCTGCCTTCCGCCCGAAGTCAGCTGGGATAGGTTCCAGCACCCTCCTGCAACCCTGTTCAGGATAAGCGGTGGTGAGAATGGATGGAAGGATGGATTTCAATATCGACAGCCAGAATGCAAATCCTCCTTTTGACAGTGGTGTCAAAACCAGGTACAGAAGGTAAATCCTGCCACAGTTTGTCTTGACCTACAGGTGCCTCTACTCAACTGGCAGGTAAACGAGCTCGAGGCCCCAAAAATAAGCATGACGCAAGAGCTGGGTCTGAGCTTCCATTGAAACTGGACGAACTCACCAAGGCAATAAAGTCATTAAAAAAGTCACAAAACACCTGGCCTAATTGAGTTCTTTAAGAAATTTGAAACAAAAGTATCTGCAGTTTTGCTTGACATGTTTCATGACTCTCTCTCCGAGGGTCACAATTATTATTCTTTGGCTAAAGCAAGATAAAATCAAAACTGAATGTGGCTCGTCCCAGCCTGTATCCCTTTTAAATAGCAATATGAACATTTTGGCTACCGCTTTCGCGTTGCGCCGAGAAAATACAATACGCGATGTGATTTCTGTGGACCAAACTGGTTTTATCCTTGGACGACACTCATTCACCAACATCCAGAGACTCTTAAACACTATTTCCATAAATTAGACAAATAACTGGATGGCTCGTTGGACCCAAAGAAACTATTTTCAAGAGTTAAAGACTGCATATCCTCACTCAAAGTTGTATCTGTTCAAAAGATTTAAAGAGGCTGTGAGAACAAAGGAATGAGTTTGGAGGAAATATGGAACACGGTGCGGCGGATGTGGTGAACGAGTGCTTCATGTGCAAAAATACGCGTACGACAATTTAAGGTCTTGGACCGCAGTCACTTTTTTAAAGCAAGACTGAAAAAATATGGATGCAAGTTGTGATTGGTGTCAAACCAGCCCTGCCAATTTGACTCACATGCTCTGGTCGTGTCCAGCACTAACTTCGTACTGGTCTATGATTTTTTTTCCACACTAACCGAGGCACTGCGCACCAATTTACAACCCACTTCAGCAATGGCCATACTTGGTGTAGCCGATGGGAATGACCCTACATTTAGTAAAAGTCACAGGAACATAATTGCCTTTACGACATTACTTGCACATAGAAGGATACTGCTCCATTGGAAATCTAAACGGCCACCAAAACCATTTACGTGGGTGAGGGCCCTCATGCAGTTTATCAAATTGGAAAAGATAAAATAATCGCTCAGGGGATCTCGGGATAGATTCTTCTCTGTATGGAATCAAATGCTGACACACTTGAATGGACTCAAACCTATGGCTACTTGATGAGTGGTGTGGTCAATTTTGTTCCATCATTTTAAGCAACGTGACAGTACATAATGTATATATCATAATCATTTCACTGTTATTATATTTCCAACATATGTTTAATTCCTTGTCCCTTATTTAGTTCCTCTATTCAGTCGAGTGTCTCCTATTCTTCTCAGGTAAATGGGGGTGGGGGGGCATTCTTTTATGTACTGTAATGCTTTTTATGTGCTTGTACATGAATATGTGACCTCTATATGTACTATGTGAAAGCTTGATAAAAAGGATTGTTTAAAAAAATTTTTTAAAACATTAGACATCCATTCTAGCATGACGCAAAACTGCTCTACTGCATGATTTTCTCTTTATAAAGAGGCAATATAATAGAGTATTCCATGGTGGAGTTGCCAGTGAAAGTCAACTCATATTCACATGCCAATTAAGTAATGCACATTCGAATTCCTCAGATCAAATTCTTTGACAGTACTTTTCAGTTCATAGCCTGTTACAGTATTTGTATATCTATCTATCTCTCTCTCTCTCTCTCTCTCTCTCTCTCTCTCTCTCTCTCTCTCTCTCTCTATATATATATATCGAGGCCCCAAAAATAAGCATGACGCAAGAGCTGGGTCTGAGCTTCCATTGAAACTGGACGAACTCACCAAGGCAATAAAGTCATTAAAAAAGTCACAAAACACCTGGCCTAATTGAGTTCTTTAAGAAATTTGAAACAAAAGTATCTGCAGTTTTGCTTGACATGTTTCATGACTCTCTCTCCGAGGGTCACAATTATTCTTTTGCTAAAGCAAGATAAAATCAAAACTGAATGTGGCTCGTACCAGCCTGTATCCCTTTTAAATAGCAATATGAACATTTTGGCTACCGCTTTCGCGTTGCGCCGAGAAAATACAATACGCGATGTGATTTCTGTGGACCAAACTGGTTTTATCCTTGGACGACACTCATTCACCAACATCCAGAGACTCTTAAACACTATTTCCATAAATTAGACAAATAACTGGATGGCTCGTTGGACCCAAAGAAACTATTTTCAAGAGTTAAAGACTGCATATCCTCACTCAAAGTTGTATCTGTTCAAAAGATTTAAAGAGGCTGTGAGAACAAAGGAATGAGTTTGGAGGAAATATGGAACACGGTGCGGCGGATGGTGAACGAGAGTGCTTCATGTGCAAAAATACGCGTACGACAATTTAAGGTCTTGGACCGCAGTCACTTTTCTAAAGCAAGACTGGAAAAAATATGGATGCAAGTTGTGATTGGTGTCAAACCAGCCCTGCCAATTTGACTCACATGCTCTGGTCGTGTCCAGCACTAACTTCGTACTGGTCTATGATTTTTTTTCCACACTAACCGAGGCACTGCGCACCAATTTACAACCCACTTCAGCAATGGCCATACTTGGTGTAGCCGATGGGAATGACCCTACATTTAGTAAAAGTCACAGGAACATAATTGCCTTTACGACATTACTTGCACATAGAAGGATACTGCTCCATTGGAAATCTAAACGGCCACCAAAACCATTTACGTGGGTGAGGGCCCTCATGCAGTTTATCAAATTGGAAAAGATAAAATAATCGCTCAGGGGATCTCGGGATAGATTCTTCTCTGTATGGAATCAAATGCTGACACACTTGAATGGACTCAAACCTATGGCTACTTGATGAGTGGTGTGGTCAATTTTGTTCCATCATTTTAAGCAACGTGACAGTACATAATGTATATATCATAATCATTTCACTGTTATTATATTTCCAACATATGTTTAATTCCTTGTCCCTTATTTAGTTCCTCTATTCAGTCGAGTGTCTCCTATTCTTCTCAGGTAAATGGGGGTGGGGGGGCATTCTTTTATGTACTGTAATGCTTTTTATGTGCTTGTACATGAATATGTGACCTCTATATGTACTATGTGAAAGCTTGATAAAAAGGATTGTTTAAAAAAATTTTTTAAAACATTAGACATCCATTCTAGCATGACGCAAAACTGCTCTACTGCATGATTTTCTCTTTATAAAGAGGCAATATAATAGAGTATTCCATGGTGGAGTTGCCAGTGAAAGTCAACTCATATTCACATGCCAATTAAGTAATGCACATTCGAATTCCTCAGATCAAATTCTTTGACAGTACTTTTCAGTTCATAGCCTGTTACAGTATTTGTATATCTATCTATCTCTCTCTCTCTCTCTCTCTCTCTCTCTCTCTCTCTCTCTCTCTCTCTCTATATATATATATCAGGTGGCACGGTGATCGATTGGTTGTACAGTGCATCAATGGAAGGCAGTGTATTGCTCTGTGCAGATAGCATGGTCAGTGCCCAGTCGATAAGAGGTCGGAGGCATTGGATGGAACAAACCATTTTTGAGACAAAGGTGGTGCTGTATTTTTGTTGTAAAAATATTTTTTTCTCAACCAAGTACTGTATGGCTATGCGCTTTTCTAACTCATTTAAAAAGGACATAATTTAATAAATAATAATGATGATTCTTACAACAATTTTCGAGGTGCTGGGATTCCATTGAGGGGCACCCCTAAAATGGTGTAGAAACCCTTTTGATCCTCAGCCACGAAGCACAAAAGAGCAGCTTGAAGCTCAATCAACGATGAAGTGAGTCAACGGGACAGCAATATTCAACGCAGGGGTGTAGACCGCTGTGAATGTGATGTGTTTAATGTAAGTGGTTTATTTTCTGCAGCCCAACGTCTGTCTACCACTGAGGTTAAGTGTCATAACTTTAATTTACAGACTTGTCTCATCCTCGCATGAGCCCAGTTTAACTCCCCCACACAACTTCTGACGAACATTTTCCTTGTCTATAATTTGTTCAGAGAAATTCAGTTCTCCTTAAAAATGTCCCACCCATATGAAATCACAAAGGTTAACCTTAAAAATGTCCGCCTGAAAACGGTCCATACTCCACAGTAAAGATGGCCGCAGTGGCACGTCTTCCTGGAAAAAATTCACACACTGCACAAAACATACTGGACGTGTATTCCAGAACACAGTCACAGACACATGCTCTCAGACATGGGCACAGCTCTCCAGCACACAGCACTTCTCAGGGCGTCGCTGAAACAATGCAGCGTCCAGCAAACTGAATACTTTTAGCATCCCCCTAACAACAATGGTAGTAAATGAACAAAATAAATGTTACAAAACAATTACCATCATCACCACTATTATATCATACTATAGAAAGTTGTCCGCACACTGCTCGAAATACATCTTTATTTACATGGTAAATGGAACACATAATCAACACGGAGTGTATCGAACTCAATCATACTTTTGAGATATCGCCCCGTCCAGTTATGCAGGTTATACACATTCTGATTTTTTGAGACCCCACACGATGAAGAAAAAAAACAATCCGCAAATGGCTTGCTGCTCTTACTGTAGAATGTGTGCCGTACTCAAGACGACCAACACACAAGTAACCATACCTCAGTCGCAAGTCTCTTACCCACACCTGATGTCTGTCATTGTATTGATGCCAGAAAATACAAAGAAGACAGAAGAGCTGTAGAAGAAGAAACAGAAGAACTTAATCTAACTCCTATCTGGTAGCTACACTGGAGTTGCCAAACTCTTCCCCTTATTTGGCTGAATACCTTGGGAGACATGTTATACAAACACTGAACAAAAACAGATGCTCTTGTATTGTGTCGGGCAACAACACAAGCATCAGATTGTTTCCAAATCGGTTATTGTTATGTCTCACACACAATCACAAAGTCCATAGCACGGCTCAACCGAGTGTTGATCAAATATCTTGAACAGGTGTAACATTTATGATTGCCGGCCTGATTGTTTTCCGAGCAGACTGACAAAAATAATAAAAATACAAAATTAAACACACTGCACACCACCCGAAAACATTTCGGACTAATTCCTTAGACACGTTCAACTATGGCAGCCCGGTGGTTCAACTGGTCAGCGCGTCGGCCTCACGGTGCAGAGGTACAGGGTTCGATTTTGGCTCTGGCTGTTCTGTGTCCATGTTCCCCCCGTGCCTGCGTGGGTTTTCTCCGGATGCTTCGGTTTCCTCCCACATTCCAAAAACATGCGTTGCAGGTTAATGGAACACTCTAAATTGTCCCTTGGTGGTTGTTCGTCTATGTGTGCCCTGCGATTGGCTGGCAACCAGTTCAGGGTGTACTTCCCGAAGACGGCTGGGATAGGCTCCAGCATTCCCCGCGACCCGTGTGAGGATAAGCGGGTCAGCACATGGATGGATGGATGGACATTCAACGATCGGGCCTTCGTTGACTTTGATCAGGAAAGGGAAATTGGGCCCGAAAGTGGCATGAGTACCCAAGTTTACAGTGTCTGAATACTTTGAGGCTTTTTTACAGTGATTAAACTTTATATTGCTTCCCAAGGAGGATTAAATTGGTGTTCTTTGACTATCATATGATTGGGCCAATGCGACATCCTTTCTTTTCCACATTACTTCTTGGCAGCTTGATGGTGACCGCAGTTTACTGGTGTGCTTGAAATGTCAGTGCCTTTTAATGAATATCTAGTCCAAGCTATTAAGTCTAACAGTTCTTGGTTGGCCAAATCTTTTCACACTGCAACAGAGCCATTTCTGTGCATATTTCACAGGCAGGCGTGAGCGATTCTTTCTCTGGCTCATTTGCTCAATATGGTCAAGAACGGGACCTTGCACTCCAAAGGCCATATGCAGTAGGTACATTCAAGCGCGATCGTGAAAGAGCAAAGACATTTTACAAGCGTGATGATGGGGAGAAAGGAATAAGTAATTTGTTAAATTGTCTGGCTTCTTTAAATGAATTCCACAATGCTCAATAATGCCGCCTTGAGTCCTCTGCCCACATTCCCCTCCTTCTCCATTCGACTTCATCTTGGGGAGGCGGACGCATCCTTATCATCCCAGCAGGGCGCTCTCTGCACGGAGACACTGGCCTTATAAATGGTGGCGTATAAACATGGACTTCAAAATGAATACTCTATGTGGTGTGGAATTTGCCATGGAGGCTGCTTTGAGTTACTGCCATTTAAATATGTTTAAAGAGACCAACTGTGGAGGCCCCTGCATTTTCCTGTGCTTTATGAGTAAATATTTACACATTTTGGCAAACCTTGTTGATACATAAAAATTCTAAACATCCTGCTGTTATTGTGATGAGGGCTGGTGTATGTTATGACTTGTACGGTGTTGTTCCAAACCCAATCAGTTTTTCATTCCTATTTTGACAACTTCTTGCATTCGCTCTCTCGCTCCAGATGGGCTGGGTTTGTAATTCACGTTGCTATGAAAGGGTGTCTTTCTATCGCTCATAATGAGCATCTTTCAGATGAGTTGAAGTCACTTAAGGGGCTGTCTCGGCAACACATGAAGCCTTCCAAAGATGTGCAACCGCAGGCTGCCTTCCCTCTGGCTCACCTCCCACCTTCCCCTTCAGCCTCGGCTCTTGTGGTTAAGGGCTTTCTTCCTGCCAAAGGAGGTTGACTGTTGTTTCTGGAATTGCCAAGGCCACTTACATGGGCTCTATCAATCAACACGGACTGCAAATCCTTAAAAAGAGCCAGGGATCTCCAGTAAATCGAAAATATGAAGTAGCACCTAATGTTCCGCGCCTTTTTTTCATTTTTATCTCTTTGGCCTGACACAAATGCAGAGGGTATCGAGTCTTTTTGATGGTCTATGGCCAATTTTACTCACACATTTTCTGTTATTGGCCCATTTTACAGTTCAGCGTGAATGTGTGGCCACAAGGTTGCTGTGTAATGGTTTGTCCAAGATGAATGATCATAGGAGGTGACCGGTGGACGGGCCTCATTGAGTATATGCCGTCCAGTCTGACAATGAAATGGAAAAATGCCATTTTGCAAGAATGGGAAATAGGGATGCCACGTGACAGGGAAGGACAACGAGTAAAGGGCCCGCCAACAGGGAAGCAAAATACCACAATCTGTTCTGGCAGAACAGATTGAAACGATTACTGTGAAGGGAACGTTCGGTTTAGGAATTTTTTTTTCTCCTCCCCTTCGCCTCAGATTCATCTGACAAGGTGGATTTTCTGAAGTGATGAATCTCAAGGGTTACGGCGGTTACTGCAAAATCCTGCTTTGCTGTGTATTGCATCTCAGATGATATTTGGTTCCCTGAGTTATGCCACATGTGATGAAGATGAGGACTGATGATGAGATAATGACACTTTTTGGAAATTATATGTTGACTTCTGCATACTTACAACCTGAAGAGTACATGAAGAATGTTCTCAGTGCAATAAAACCCCATTCAAATTTCCTGTCCTGACTGAGGCACACTTGGTATTAGGTTGCTTTCAAATAGGGAAAAAAAAAGCAATAATGCTTTCGTGCTGGTCAGTAAATCAAATCAACGCAAAATGGAATGTACACATTACAGACAATCTAGACCGTTTTTTACCAACACAAGTGCCACTACGCCATAAATGAGCCTGACGGTGTCAAACTCCAAAACAATGGTCAGTTAAAACATAGCAGACATAGCAGTTTTGTCTGATATGCTGCATTAATACTGTAGGTTGTATTTTAGCATGAGTTCAACCTTGCTAGCTGAAAACATAATTAAACAAAAACCAAAATACTGTAATCAAATATCATTAGATGATAATTAACTGCCTTTACTGTGAAAAAAAAAATACACTTTGTATGTCGTCTGTTCTGTTAAATAATGATTACTCTCCATCATATAAATGTGCTAAAAATATATTGTTTACTGCATATAAGTCGTTTATAAAGGGTATTTTGGATATCTGTAGCCATATAGCAAAATTGTTTGTTTTTTTTTCATTTTTTTGGCCAAATTGTGATATCTGCATAACTTTACACTCATCCCACTGCTGCATCATTCGACTTTTCTTCCTACATCCTTGGCCAATCACAACACTTATCAGAATCCAAAAACATTATCTGCTCAAGTTCTCTTTGACCTTGGCAGTGTTCATGCTAAAGATGGGCACTTTACCCTATTTTGCCAGTCCGTCCTCCATCCTCTGTCCACGACTTGGGCACCCTTCTGTAATCGTCTCTCCGTCCTTATTTGGAAAATAATCGTCTTTCGTCCCCGTCCTTTTTAAAGCGCTTAAAAATATAGGGGGAAAAAAAGACCAGTGAGACAAGTACATAATGTTCGCAGACTGGCAACCATTGTTTTCATTGCTTTTAAATTACCAGTTTAAAGCAGTGGTATTGACAAAAAAGATAATTGTCGAGTAATTAAACATTTTATTAACGTAGTTTATTTCAACAAATTTCAAACTGTTATTCTACTGTACAAAAAAAATGTATAATAAAATAACACAATGAACTATTGAGAAATGGGCCAATCAGGAATAAGAAATATGCCTTATAATGCCAACATAATACTTTTTAAGTTATAATCCGACAAATGGCGTTAGCATCATTGCTACTTGCAAATGTGACTGAGCAAATGATGATAATTTGATGATGATGTTTAACTGCTTATTCTTTCATTTATTGGCGGATTCTGTTTATATCAACTTGCAAATCAATGTTAGAAGAGGGACTCAGATTGGCTAGAGTCCCATTTCCGCCACGTTTTATGGAGTCAATTTGCTCACAGCTCGCAGGTCTGTCTCTGTGCAGCCCGCTCCCAAATGGGCGAGGCCCGGTACCGGTCCGCAGACAGGTGGTTGGGAACCCCTGGTGTATAGAGCTTAAAGTCCCTTGCTGACGTATCAGTGGCTTAGTAGTTTCCATGTTAATGCTTTCGTAGCAGCACCGATAGGGCAGAGTGATTTCTTTCCCATCAGTGCGTTACAAACCAATGTTCTGATTGAAGCTAAAATGATTTGAAATTAAAACGACCTGAAACATCCTGAGGCAAACTCAGCACAGAACACGACATGCCATAGCAACATACCACACAATAAAGCATTAACTCCTGATGACCCATTACATTGCATTACCTTTGTATGCCTGCATCCTCTCCAATAGTCATTTATCCGTGCTCTGTAATTAGGTCTGCCTGCAAAATAAAGAAGAAAAAAAATAGGTCGATTTGTTTACCCTGATGTTTCTAACTCATTATGCCTGTAAAATATCCCCTCCAGAGAGAGATCCTGCATGTGGTCTATAAGCATGAGTTGCCAAGGTTGCATTCATCAGTGATTGATGGTTATGTATACCTTATTTTCAAATTGGGTATCAATCATGAAGTAAATCCATGGCAATTGTAACCACTGTAGAGGTGTTTCAGCACTGTAGCAGTGTTGCATTTTTAAGGACTGTGCATAATGCTTTTAAAGTCAAGGTTGGCTTTTGAGGAGACTTTTGAATATACAATATACAGTATATCAACGGCACACATCAGCCTTGATGACTTGCTCTGCATTTCCAGGATTCCTCTGTGGCTTGTTATTGACGTTATACATCCAGAACATTAGTAAGTATACACACACACACACACACACACACACACACACACACACACACACACACACACACACACACACACACACACACACATACACACACACACACACGCACGGACAAAATGTATACATAAAAACGAAATGAAAATAACCCAATGAAAATCAGACAATACTTTCTTCCATGAAGTCCACTCTAGCTAGCTCAAACAATGACGAATGATGCCATCTGACAATGATGTAACTTGACCATAGCATTCACCTTTAATTCCTTTGGAGGTTGTTCTGGGCACTTTTGTTTCCATTTGTATTATCCGTATCTTCAAATTGTCATCAATTTTCCTCCTGCGGCCACATCCAGGAACGTTGGCTACATTACCGTGGATCTTAAATTTATGAATCATATGTGCACCGCTGTCACAGGAATATTTCACCATGACTCGTGTGTTTTTAAAAACTGATGAAAGGTAGAAAAGGGCCCACTGCTTCAGGCTCACCCTCCACACCCCTCCAATTCATTAATTCACGGGGTACACACATTCTGTGATTGATACGTGACAAAAACGTTTGTATTTTCCTTCTTCCCGGTGAAAAAAATTGGCGGATGATATTGGTAATATGGCATTTAAATAGTAAAGTTTTGGGTGATTCATGATGGGAATTAGAGAAGTATTTACCGGTACTTACAAATTGGGGCCGTCGGTCTAGCCTGCAAGCTCGAAGCCCTTCATCATTGTAACATGTAGTCCGGATGATTTTGGCACGTTTCTTTGTAATTGTTATTTAACATGAATAAGTTCTGCAGTGACTATGATCCAAAACAGTCGCCATCCCTTCCCTTCGAGTCCTGTTTGAAACTGACCACGCTAAAACCAACAATCAAATATCCAGCCAGTGACCTGTCTCATTTAGATCAGACGACCAACAGCGGGTCTGTTGAATATATTGTGACGAGTTATCAACTTACCAGTCAACTTACCGGCCAACAGATTTCTGTATTTCTCAACTGGGGCGTCTCTTGCTCTCTCTCCCCCCGCATCAAAATGGAATCCTGTAAAAGAATCCAAAAGAATACCTGTAATCTGATGATGTGATTTTATTCTGTAACGCTAATGGATTACAATTTTTTTTTTTTTTTTTAATTCCGGAATGTGTAACGCCGTTACTCCCCAACCCTGGTTGTATGCATCGAAAAAGTGCTAAAATGCTGGAAATACATAATAAAGTAAATGAAAGAACGTCATCAAGCCTCAGGTGAAGCTGGAGGAAGTGAAACAGATGGCCACCCACCATGTGTGCACTTCTGCTCAAGGTTTAATCCACCCGGTTCACTGGGCTTTGTTAGTGTGTGGCTGTGGCCTCAGTCTTCACAGTGTATCCTGCATTGCTGGCACTGATCTGGCCATGTCAGATGATTGTGCGGCTGATTGAACATGTTGAATCAGGGAGATCGGTGGTGAGAAAAATCACTCTCACTAGCTTCAACCAAACACAGGTTGAATAAAAAAAGCAAAAAAACACCCACATGGCTTAAATAATCATATTGGCTTGTCTTATTGAAGAGATTTTCTTGTTACTTAAATACAACCCCTTGTCAGAAATTATGGAATCACCAGTCGCAGAGGATGTTTGTTGACTTGATTAATTTTGCTGAAAAAAAAAAAAAAAGGAGATCATAAACATGACAAAACTAGTGTCATTTCAAATGGTAACTTTCTGGCTAGAAGAAATCCAAAGATTTTTTTTTTTTAAATGTGGTTGGAACAGTTACTTGTTTAGACGTAGCAGAGGGAAAAAAATGTGGATTCGTTCAATTCTGAGGAAAAAAAAAATGGAATCATTGGGGGAGAAAAACAACAAAAGAACTCTTCAACAAACCACTGGATGTTTGTTGCACCACCTCTGGCTTTTATAACACCAGTCTCAGAGGCATGAACTGATAAGATAAGATAAGAAAACCTTTATTAGTCTCGCAATGGAGAAATTCCCAATTCACAGCAGCAAAGTTATGAATGGAAGAAGTAGAACAACAAAATATAGGAGCTGCTGGAAAGGCAGCCACTCACGCGGCGCCATCTTGAAGTCAAAATAACAAAAATGAGTGATAAAAAGTACTCTCCCTCAATCTGGCTCCAACTTTCTCTGAATGATTTTCCCAGATCAGCTATGCAGGTTCAATCCTTGTCATGGACCATTTTCTTCAACTTCCACCAAAAAAACTCATTTGGAGTAAGATCTGGACGACCATATTTGCAGGCCATGACATTGACCTTTGTAGGTGTCTTTCTTCAAGGAATGATTTCACAGTTTTTACTCCATGGTTAGATGCATTATCACCTCCAAAAAAGATTTCATCATCTCCTAATGTCCTTTCAGATGATGGAATCAGAAAAATGTCCAAGATGTCAACGTGAACTTGTACTTTCTTCCAGTTCGGTCACAGACGTTGACTCCAAAATCCTTCCATTTGTTTTACTAAGCATTTTCTGTTTTCTGTCTTGAGGCTTTGATGTTTTCCTTGGTCGACCAGTACGCTTGCCTTTAACAACCTTCCGCCATGTTGTTTGCACTTGGTCCAGATCATTGGCATTTCTAGATATTTTTACCTGGGGTAAGGTGTGGGTGGCTGGAGGTTCAGGCGGGAGGGTGGAAGTAAAATGCATTTGTTTTTTGTCCACAGACTATATCATAGCCTTATCGCGCCCGTTGACACGCCACTGATCAGACCGTTTTGTGGCTCAGTTGCTCTGGTTGCTAAAACCTTCCACTCACAGTTGATCATGGGATATCTCCTACTGTAACCCCGTCAAACAACCTTTTCTTGACAAGGCAGCCTGCCTCCTATACTTGGGCCCAACCGTAACTCCTGAATTCAATTATTTGCAGGCCTGACCCAATACTTGTGTCAATTTAGTGTATCGTCACAAATGCCCATGCATATTAATGAGTGAAGAGTCAATAGAACTAAAATAACGTACTTTTCTTTTTCATGTTATGTTTCTCAGTCGAGGTACAGTTTCTTTCATTGTCATCTTCAATAACGATTAGGAATGAAATGTTTTCGACTTCACATGAGATGGCTTTGCTTGAAGTGCCACATCTGTAAGCAGTGTGGCTCACAGCTTGTCTCAACTGGCTTCTTGTTGACAGAATAGCACCTGCATAGCTGCACTGCTAACACCTCCCATTAATGGTTAAGAATGCAGAGATGCCATTCTGATCATTTCCGCAAACCAGTCAACATTATCTGAGGGATACACATGTTGGCAGAGGACAGGCATGATAATAATATGCATAAACAACATTTAGGTGGGCTTCCATGGCAATACGTAAATGAGGGTGTTGTCACATACTGTTGATGAATACATTTGGTGTGATACTATGAACACACCCAAAACCATGTGAGACTGTGCAATTATAGCACATTTGCTGCACCAGCTGCTGTATAAATGTGCGGTGTGACAACACTCCCAGGAGATTGAGCCGTAACTGCTTTTGAAATACAGCCTAGATATATTTTCACACTTCAGGTTGTGTAAAAAGAAGATTAAGTCAGTGGGTCGATTGGATGCTGCTGAAATACAATATTGAAATTGCATCACAGAATGACATGACACCACGGAAAGTTGCTGAACGCCAGTCAAGGCCATTGCTTGTATGCAAGGATGTGACTGCAATAGTATATCAAAAAGGCAACAAAAAATTGAATATATGGCGATGAAAGAAAAGAAATATGGATTATATATATATATATATATATATATATAAACAAACAGTATCGTTCTGGCGTGGTGAAGAAGATTTACCGGTCCATGGTTGTGAGCTGTCGGTAAAGACCGAAAGAACAATATCCCAGCTTCAAGTGGCCAAAATGACTTTGCTCCGCAGGGTACCTAGGCTCTCTACCTTAGAGATAGGGTGAGAAGCTTGGTCATCCGGGAGAGAGTCAGAGTCGAGCTGCTGCTCCTCCAAATTGAGAGAAGCCAACTGAGGAGGCTCTGATTAGATGCCGCCTTGTTGAGGTGTTCGGGGTACGTCCCACTGGCAGGACACGCTAGAGAGACAACTGTATGTCTCCCAGATGGCCTAGGATTACCTTGGGATCCCTCCGGAAGTGTTCGAAGACGGGACTGGGGAGAGGCAAGTCTCGACTACCCTGCTGAGGCTGCTGCCTTTGCGACCTGACCCCAGATGAGTGGTAGAAAATTTGGACGATGGATGGATGGATGGATGGATGGATGGATGGATGGATGGAAAGACCAGAACCTGACATGGCACATTTTTGTAATTCTAGTAAAGTAATCTAGCAAAAATATAATTGCACTTCCCTCAATGAATGTATGGCATTTCTTTGGAGCTGGTCTGTTTCCACAATGACTGACTGGAAAGAATCGACTGTATCTGAAGTGGCAGGAAACAAATCCTAACAGTTTTGTGAACTCACACAGGGTCTTCGAGAAGCTTCTTTTACCACCAGGGACTCTTATCACACACTCTCTCTTGACACTTTGTGTGACACTTGCGAAAAAAACTGCAAATTAAACCATTTATAAACCCAAGACAACTTACTTGTACAAGTGGAATGTTGGATCAGTCATTTGTCTGACTTATTGAGGTTTCTTATTCTGACAAAGTTGGATCAAAACATATCATGGTCTGGATCTTTCTTTTAACAGTAAAACAAGTGCACACGCTTGCAAAGCACTGCTATCAGACACATCCATATTTTAAGATACGTTTTGGTAATTCATGGCCTGAAAATATTCAATTATTTACATCAGTTCACTAAGAAATTTAAATGATCAGCGACGCAAAGACAGCAGTTTAGTTTATTGATATGAAGGAAAAAAAGAGAATACTGACATCGTTCTAAGTGCTTCCAAAAAAGTAAAAAGAAAAGTCACTAAATTCTTCCAATTGCTTTTGATCAGCGCTTGACTCACTTCACCATGTTTGTTAATGAATGACTGTTGAAATATTGAATAATTTAAACATTAAGACAGATGGCATGCTCAGTTTTTAAATCTAAAATAGTATTTACTGGTTTAAATAATTTCTTTTGGAAAACATTTAAACATAATAAATCTGCACAGACTTCTAAGGGTGTATTCACACCAGAAAAGTCCTTCGGTCTGCCGGTTTTCTCCGGACCAAAAGCGGATTAAATTTTTTTCGTTTGGTGCAGTTTGTATTCACACTGTACTTTTTGAAATATATTTTGTAAAGACATGGAGGCGTGTGACGATCGGTGCTCCCATTGAACAGAAATGACGAGGGTGGCACATTGAGCAAAAGCCCGGAAATGGAGGAATATGTGGAATTCCTACGTGCTCTATTCCTGCTCTGCATATTTGTGTTATTATTAGAACTGAAAAACAATTCTGAGTCCCAAGAGCAGCTCAATCAACGGCGCTATCGCGACGCTGTGTTCTAAATTTTTGGAACAGCATCGGCGATTACCTGCCATAACCCGTTGGAGCTTATGCCCTGACCCACAACATGCTGGCAGCGTCGTGGCTAAACAAAAGATGAAGGATCAGGTATATTCACTAAGGGCTATTGATCCCAGGATGCCGAGCGACCATGGCTTGTTTAACCCAAAAAGTCATATGTATCTTATAGTTGGTGCGGATCGGCTGTGGTTTGTATCTTTAGAATCACCTGAAAAAAAAAAAAAAACAAAAACAAAAACAAAAAAAAAAAAAACTAAAATAGAGGTTTGTGCAAGGGACACATCTTGGGTTTCCCTTGGAAATGACCAGTCTTGGGTGTACCTTGCCTCTTTTCCGTAGGATTGGCTCCAACTCACCCGCAACCCTAATGTGGGCAAGCACAATAGAAAATAGATGGATGTAAAATGGTATAGTCTATTTCTAATAAAGACTTGGCTCTTATAACACAGTACATTGGTGATGTGCCTCTGAGAAATCAGGGAAATCACCGAAGGTGCAATTTGGGTTCCCACTGAACAGGTAGGCAAGCACCAGCCCCTCCAGGTGTCCCTCGACAGGACATTCGTGATGATCAGTGGAGGCCTACTTGGCTGAGTACCATCCACTTCCAAAAGTGCTGACTGAGCCAGGGAGATGGCGGCGGGTTGCCAAGGCACCGAGCCATGCCTCTGACAGTTTTGCCAGGTGGGACCGAGTATCGGAAGATGGCCAAGTGATATGTG